AGACTCCAGTGAATATTTAAGTACTCCCTGTAATAAAAGAAAACATATTATTACAATTCTTTTGTGTATTTGAACATTCCTTAATTGATTATGATGCGAAGGCATTTAGCCAGAGAAGCAGTATCGGGAATTGTAAGGTACATTTGTTTTTTCACAAAATCCAAATAAGGTAGCTTTGGTTCAGGCTTCACTTAGTTATGCTTAATCTAGAAGGGCTATTTAGATCAGGACAGGAGCACAAAAAATCACATACTTACATAATTTCTTGAAAGCGAATGATATGTAAAGGAATAATTAAATAATCGGTTAGAAAAAGTTACCAAAACACCCAAGCAAATATCGATAAGTTATGGCAGTCTGAAAAGATATATTTTTCCATTATTCGTCCAGTTAATTGTAGCGCCTATACATATGTCGCTAGCTCTCCCACATTTGTTTTCGGCAGAATGCGTTTCCGGGCTCTATGTTTCGTTTTTTACTATTACTTTTACTCGTTATCTGCGTGCATTACCCACCCAACGTTATTGGAGATATTGATCTTGGTCTCTCCGTGTCCTTGCTTGTCACTACTCCTTTATATTTTAGGTGACATTTTTGTTAGTGACTAAAAAGGTCAAACAACACAAACTCCACTATGGGTATGGGAGGTAATTGACTTTTTTCACAGGTGGGGCAAAGCGAAAGGTAAATCAGAGACCAGTGAACGTCAAAAGAATTGCATATGTATATAAAGATGTATGGTAGTAGGGTGCTGACCAATCTGGTAAAGGAAGAGGGATGTTCCCTTGTGCCCTCACAGGCTGTCGATTAGCGATTTGTGATATGCATTGATAATGCGGGACCTACAAAGACAAGAAGATCGGAACTGCAATTTCTATTTTATTAACCATTATCAGCCAGGCATACCCAATCTCGGGTGTGGGTTACCTGAGATTAAAACCCGGGACTTCCAAGTCAACAACGAACATCTTCAACATTCCTTTTGTGAGTTGTATTACTGCTTTTAAGTATACATACGGCTGAGTCGTATTTCTCCAAATTCAAACTTGGAATTTTTTTATATACAGCCAATTTACTGAAAATATCCGGCAGAGTTCTACAGCTGACTGAAAAGTTAAGAA